ATTTTTTTAAAAGGACTGTAACCCTAAATCCCCTTTATGATGGTTCATCAAACTTGAAGTGATTACCTGTGATGTCTGAAGAAAATGAAGTCTCGCTGGTTATGAAAAGTAACACACTGTCTGCCTTGAAACTGGGGATCATAAGGGAAGAGGGCAGCTAGAAGACGAGCCACAGAATGACCAAGACGTGTGCTAAAGTTATTGAGTATAACCTCTGGTCTGTGGCTTGTCTTACGACCATGGTTCTGAAAGAAAATACATAAACCTTTGTGAAGCACAACAACAAGCTTTATTTCATTTCATGTCAAAATTAAACCTACTCTTATGCAGCTCCTCTATCTCTGCATAAAGAGGTTACAGTTAATTCTGTACTTGTACCGAGTAGCTTAGCCAGCCTGGCTTATCCCAGTTTCCTTAGCGTAAAGCAACTAGCAGTATCACCACTCCCCCTTGGATAGGATGCTGGTCCATCACAGGGTTTTCCCCTTGCATTTCATCAGGCTTCCCTGACAATTCACCAGTACCCAGTCCCGGGTACATCTGGGTGGAGAGAGGCATGGTGAGAGTGGAGTGATCTGTCCAAGAACACAACACAAGGATTAGCCGGGTCTTGAACCCAGACCCCTCCACCCAGAATCCAACACACTAAATACTACACCACCATGTCTTCCACATTTAGTCATGTATAATTAAATAATATTATGCTTCAGAGAAATGCAGTTGTAATATTTGTAAATTAGTTTATAATTTGATCTCTACCTCTCTAATTGTTTTTTTTTTCTAGATGTCCTGAAAACAACATCAGAAAAACCTTAACTGATTTTCCTTTTCCCTTTTGTTAAACCATTTTCTCAGTAGCAGGAGCAGTAACAATACTCTACAAGGCTTTTTGCAAAAATGGAAAAATGGACTGACTTCCTCATTTAACCTTTTAACCCCTAGGGTTGGATAAGCATCTGGTTCCTCCCAACAGTATCACCCCTGAATCAAACATTAACATTAAGGGAATAAACGAAATGATAGCAAACTCGAAAAAGTGCCTGATAGTATGACAAACTCTCCTTATAAGCACCATAGGAAATGTATAGAGAACAGTATGGAGAATATGCAAACTGATGTTAGGGTGTAAAGGATTAAACCATCTGAGGGAAGAATATTAGTTTTTGTAACATGCCTCACCTTGATTGTCCTGCCAAGTTTCACGCTGGTCAATTTAAAGTGTGCAGTTGGTCCATCTGGTAAATGACTTATCACTATTCCATCTAAAAACATTTTGTTAGGGGAAAACACAGACAAAACCACTCATGTAGAGATCTTGGAGAGAGCTCCTAAGCAAAGATATAACAGATGACCTTTAAAATTCTTCAAACTAAGACAACCCCAAATTTTTGATCCTTGAAAAAAATATTTTAAGTGAAAAGGTTATTATATGAGGTGTTCTCCACTTCAAACCACTTATTTCCAGAAGCAGAAGTACTTTGATATTTATCATTTTCCAGAAAGGGTTTACAAGATATCATTTTAACTTTGAGTGCTTAATGCTTTCTCTGACATCTGGAGGTAAAGCAATACAGCAATCTGCAGCTTTAACCCCTAAGAATTAAGATGATCATACTGGCCATAAGTGTAGAAGTCTATGAAGCTGACCCTCCCCACCCCCTATCCCTTACAGAGTCTAGAGACACCAACCTCCATGTGGACCAGCAAAGGGAGTCTTACTCCCATTTCACACCAAAATTTTTAAGAAATACTCATGCATCACATGTACGTCAAACAGTATTGCATGCATCACAAGCTTAAAAGGGAAGACTTCAAATCTTCTTTTCTGAACCTTTCTGAATAAATTTTACAGGTAATACGATAATTTCAGGCTTAAGGCCTTAGCCATCCTCCTCTATGCAAATGCAGTCAACAGATTCAAACATCATATCCCACACTGATGAAAAAGGATACTTGGCATTTTTTTGTCTTCATTGACAACAACAAGAGCTGTAAATCCTTTTTCTTTAGCTTGAGGAATAATTTTCTTCAAATCTATACCCTTCCGAACACGGACCTCGGAATTTGGGATGATGTGTTGAAGTTCCTTCATAAACTGTACTGTTTTCTAGAGACAACAGTAAAACAAATTCACTGAATAAATGAGAGACTAAGGTAAACATATTTGTGGAACTTCAATGTTCTAACTCATTCACTATGTGTTGATGTTATCATTAAGCAAGCCCCTGTCTTCATACAATGAAAATTAAACCTTAACTCCCAGATCAAATTTGTAATTCTCCTTACTGTCAACCATACAATTCTTGTAATGTTAATTCTGAGAATTTAGTATTGAATCAACTAATTATCCCCAAATTGATACTTTTCTTTATTCTCATCACTTATCTGGTTGATATTGCATTGATATTGTAAGGAGAAATTCTGTCTTGGTCACTCATGGGAGTTCAGTGGTTAAGAATTTTTTTAATTATGAAGAAAAAATAATTAAATTTAACAAAACAGCTATTTAACTTGTGTTCATTTTGAAAATGAGGGCTTTAGGGAATGTTTAACAGTTTTGTTTTCCACTCTTCCATTATTTAGTTCCTAGAATGTCAAAGATCCATATGATATCAGTTCTCAAAATAATCCTTTCACTTGTAAGATCCCAAATGTTATTTCCCTTGCTAACAATGTTGTACTTCTTTGCTGACTGTTTGCGAAACTTTTCTCAGGGGTAGAGCAGGCTGGAGTGTCAAATAAGCCAGCTGACTCTTCTGAATGCTCATGGCTCAATATTTAACACAGAAGCATGACATTGATGGGAATGAAACTGTTTAGTGCTGCCTACTTTGTATCACAGTCCCCTTACTCAGAACCGTTTTAACAACCCTGAAAAGGTATTAAAATTGTTGGGAGAATGTATCATTTGATTACTCCAAGGAATACAAGGAATCAGCAAAATAATGTAACATTTAAAATTCAGTATTCATATTCAAACATACCACTTTTGATCTGTCACTTGATGTGATAAGAACCTTGGGTACTACCTCGCATCTAAAGTATGCCGCAAACTCATCAGTTTCTTCATCATTTAAGACCTGTGTAATTATAAACACTCTCTTAATAATTTGCCCTTGCCATAACTGTAATAATAGCACATACAAATTCACAAATGGCAAATTATTCTTCTCATTACTACAAATTTCTAAATACTGGTGTGTCTAAAACTCAAGTACAGGCTAAGGAATTTGTTACCTACAATTACAATTTAATTTGGCAAGTATCTTACCTCCTCATCCTGTGGCTCTACAATGGTCTCATCAGCAACTCGAGTGTTGTCAATAGTTCTTGGAACTTGCTTTGGTTTAGGCTGTTATGAAACATGTCACATTTAGAGTTTGAAACTACCCTTTACATGATGAGCTGAATTATACACACATTTTGGGTGGTTCTTATTTAAGATCTATAGGAAGACAGACACATAGATGACATCATTGTTAACAACATTTTGTTTTTTTATCATCCAAAACATGTAGATTCCATGTTGCCGTGGATCTGTATAGTTTTACTGTAGTAATAATACAGATAATCATAATAATATTAATGGGAGTTTAATAGTGGACATTCCAGGTGGCTCTTCTTGTCCACATGTACTGTGATGGCAGGTCCAGGATTCAAACCTCTGCCATAGCAGGCTGCAGCAGTGGGAGGCAAGCACTCTCACTACTGTATCATACCCCCCTCCCTAATCATAGAAGACAACAAATTGTGGTAAAACACTTGCAGTGGCTACATCTTGTGTGCCACTTTTTTGCTCTCATCACATTTTAATGTCATCTGTCATATTTGTGAGCAGATCAATGGCAACATGGAATCTGTATGTTAATTTGACCATGGCAGGAATGATTCTCAGAGGATCTGAACCATCTTCCTTTACCTTCCTCCTTCCCTTTTCTGATGTTCTTTGTTTGACATCTAATTGGAACCAGGTTAGAACATCTGAGAATCAGCTTAACAGCTGTGTGTCTGTTCATGAATAGGTCACAGGTGATGTCAGTAATGTGGTTAGAACAAAAAAGTGGCACACAAGGTACATCGGGGTGTGCCACTGATGTTCTTATCACTTTTTTACAACTTCTGTCATCTATTAATGAACAAACCCATGACAACACGGAAAACATTTGTTTTATATGATAAAAGCAACATGTTATTCATGGTGACATAATCTATGCATCTGTCCTCCAATATATCATAAGTAAGAACCTATCAAAATACATGTAGGATACAGCCCATCATATAATATACTTATATTCAACAGTTTTAAACTTGATTTATTAGTCAAGCAGCAAACAAAACACATTTAAACTATGGCAATGAGTTGTAAGGATGATTCTATATTTAGGACAATGTCATTCAAAGCACTTGCCATTTACTTGTGCATTTCAACCACATAGCAGTCATTTTAACCCTTTATATACTAACATCAGAATACATATTCTTAATATCCTTCTCTTTACATTTCCTTTTGTACTAAAAAGGAGAATTTGTAAAACGATCAAAGCTTCTTGGGTTGGCGATCATATCGTTTATTCTCACGATCTTAAAGAATGATTCAGCTGTATTCATGTAAGGAGAAATTAGATACTGGTAATTCTTTGGGTTTAGAGGGTTAAGCTTCGTGTTTGAAACACATACATCTCAGTTAACAGCTGTTTCGAAGTCAATAACACACCATGTCACTGCATGCATGTTTTGATTCCAACACAATAATAAGCAAATGCTATCACACTTTCACCTTGATTATTAATAAATTAAGCGATCAGAATAATGCAAGTCAAGAAGAAACCCTGTTTACCTTCTCAAAGCATATGGATCCACGTGCAGTTATGTTTACATGTTAATTTTTTTTTCATTGCCTTACCTCTCCTTCTTCCTGTGATTCCTCCTGTTTTCGTTTACGTTTTCTATCCCTTTTTTCTTTTGCTTTCTTGAGCTTTTCTTTCTGGTAGAGAGAACTCCGTCTTTGCTTATTTTTAATTTGAGAAAAGTCAACCTCTTTTCCCTCTCTGGCCGCCATCTTTGTTCAATGTTGGGACTCAGTCTCTTTGGTCCAAATTTCACATTCCTTACATTCTTGCAAGTATTCTTGTTCCCAGAGTCCTCATAAGTGGACACACAGGCGGCCCAAGCTCCAGCTGTGTAGAAGTAAGGTGACGTATTTTTTTTGAGAATTTGACGTATTATTTTATTCCTTAGGGCTGCCGTAAATATTCCCATACAAACTCTTATAATTACGCCATGACTGTTATTGCGCAAGATGATCATCTCACAGCTGGAGCTTGGGCCACCTGTGGTGGACATAGACGGTTTCCTTATGGTTACGTGACATGTTAAAACATCCCTTGTGCACGAGCGTAAGCGGTTATGTCGATTACTCTTTCCCCCATACGCTTATTTAGTTTGATCCGATTATTTATGGTATTTCTCGTTTTTTTCTCCTGTTTAAATATGTGCCGGGTTATGGCAAGGTATGTTGTGGTCAAGGTTGCGAGACACCACATCCAATAAAAAAGGAACTCAAAGAAAAGCATTCAATCAAGATCTTTATTTGCATTTTTGTTCCTTGAGCTGACAGCTCTCTGGATCTCTGAGTTCCCAAATGAGGCACCTTTGTCCTTACTTCCGGTGACTGGGCGTGAGATTGACAAGCTTCCTGTATCTGAGAACAAGGGGACGCGATAATATCAATTTTCTCTAGTTTTTCCAAGGTTTCGTCCACACCTAGATCGAACGAAATGTTGGCTGTAAAGATTTACTCAGTCGGATTTCTTTTCGTGCTCGCCGCTCGAGGTAGCTTCCAAAGTAAGTTCTTCCGACATTGAGTAATGTGTAACTTTAGCTGTTAGAACCCAAAACGTATTCTAAAATTGAACAATCCCGTTAATAAGTAGCCTGGCTAATAAGCAATGATAAACTCAGCTGATGTTACCCGTAAACTACATTTAAACTGAGATTTGTTGTATAATCGTGACAGAATCGGAAATCGACTCTCTTCGATACTGATCAGTGAGTGAGTCGTGCCAAATAAGCTGTCAATCACGCAATGTTCCTTTGAAGCTTTTCGAGAGGTTTTGGCTACTGCCGTCGTTCTTTTACTCGAGATGGAACATTTCAGCGTTATTGAAACTTAGAATTGCGAATGGAAGCTTTTACTGAAATGACCAGAACTCAAAATTGAATGAATGACTGAAAGTGTTGACATGAATGATTGTGCGCGCTGTGCTCGTTTCAGCTCGAGTTTATCTTGGAATAAACGAAGTTGTTAATCATTTAAATTGGGGTGAACTTTTGTTTAAAATACATCATCAAACGGTTCGATTTATGCCAATTTTAATATTAATCTGCACAATTTTTCTGAGCTCGGAAACATGTTCAACAGAGATGTGATTTCCTTCACTTGACATACGGTATGTAACATTTATTTATAATCTCTTTCGTGCAAAGTTGTTCGTGACGCTGAAGGAAGAGGTACTATATCAGCGACAGAATACTTGCAACTTAAACTGTTACTGATACGTTTGATTTCGGTTTTCTTACACGCAATATTCCTCCTCTAAATCTTAGAACAATCTACTCAGAATTTCAGCACAAAATAATTAATTAGATCTTTAAACTATGCACGTAACTCAAGGATGCGTCGGTGGATCTAACGGTTTATTATTCATCACAAGGCTATCACGGTCTGGCGAGTTCATACGTCTTACAGACAATGAAGACGTGAGAGATCGGAAAGCAACTATTTTTGTTAAAAATATTTATCATATAAATATAACCAGCCTCAAAAAACTTCATTTTTCTTTGTTCATGAAAACTTCTCATGACTACCTCCATTTCGTTCGTGTTGTAATGCTCTTTTCTAGCTATGTAGTTGATCAAGTCTACGGAAAATGCAAATTTTATCACTAAGAATTTTAAAAAAATGCAGTCAAACATTTGTTTTCCAATACATGATATTGCGTAGCCTTGTATCACGAACAGGACGATAATATACACTTTTCGATCTCAAAATGGGCCGAGTAGAAAAATATGCTGAAAATAAGCTGCAGCAAATACGAAAGATTTGTAAAGACTGGAATCTAATCAAAACAAGTTGACCTTTATACAAGTTAGTTTTTAAAAAGTCGATGTTTCTCCATAACTCGATGCAAAAATAAAATATATCAGGCTGTAGGCAAAGCACTGTACAGCAAGACCCTTGGGCTATTGTTTACCAAGAAGTAATCACCGCAGACTGAAATTTGACCGGGCCAATATCAGCGCTGGGAAAGGGTTCAGACAAATTGAACTCTCGAGAATCTTCGCCAAAATTAACAAATAGAGAAAGAGAGACAATCGGATCGAAGTGTTAGGCATTACTGGCTGTTTACAGTTTCTTTCCCTCTCTCTCTCCCTCTCTCTATCTCTCTCTCTCTCTCTTTTATTTCTAAAAGTGGGAAATTGACAACGAAGCTACAACAGTTACGCCGCCAGTTTTCAGGTCTTACATCACTTGATCTATCTTTAGAAGTATTTAACGATCACTGGAAACGACGCAAAACGAAGGGCTTTGAGCCGAGTATAGTTGAGATATTAAAGGATAATGAAACGTAACTAGCACCAGCATCTCTCCTTTGAGAATTTGCAGGGCATGTTTCGTTTAATAAATAGGCGTTGCCTCGTGTTGACAGATTTATTCGATGACAAGAATCGTGATTGACATTAATTCAATAGATTGATTTAAAAGCGTTAGATTATTATGTTTAAGTCAGTTTTTCAGCAGAATCGAAGTGAGAAAGAAGTTATTTTGTTATCGTTTTTCTGTCTCTAAATCCGCTTACCTGGAGAATCTGCTAACCCGTAAAGTGAGACTGTTGTAACGACCCGCCACAGAAGTAAGTTTATATTGAAGTTTTTGAATTTAGTTACAAGATAAAGACTTGATTTGCGTTTGTTCTAATTGCGAATTATAAATGTATTTCTTTTAGATCGAATAATTATTAAAGCTTGGCTTAATATTATACGGTTTGTGGTGGTCATTTGATCTAACCAGTTCCGAGTAAGGAAACAGGGCATTGCAAGTTCTCTCCTGTAGCTTTCTGTCAGATAATGCATCGCTTCCAATCCATGGTTAATTTAAAAGTCGAAATTCCTTTTTCTTTACTTTTCTATCTCGATACAACTGACGTATCTATTCATCTACTGGCATAAAAATATCACAAAAAAAAAATTAATTTTGACAGTGGCATCTTGTGATACGGACCAAAATTATCCACTTCGTATGTCAGTAATCTAAGAAAATGACAGATATTTAAATTGGAAATCTGAAATACTTTCTCACCTGAAATACTTTCTCACCTGAAACACATGGAGGGCTGCCATCTTTAAAACCGAGTGAAGTCCTGAGTACTAATACCTTGCAACTCTCAAAAGGGTTGCCTGTGGCCCTGCCGCTTCTAGAATTCGTTTTCTTTGAGACCATTTTTATCATGTGCTGAGAGTGAACCTTATACTTCCTATTGATAATCCCAATAACTTGGTCATATTGAAGTAAAGAATCGAAAGCGTAATTAATTCAAATAGCTGTATTAAGTACAGACAGAGTATTCAATCTTTAAAGCTGTGCAATTCTTGGTACTGATGTTAAAAATTAGGGCTTTGTGACTCATAAGCGGGACTTCTTCCGGCATTTTGTTTCGTATTCCTACATTTTTTTATATATTTCAGACGACACTCATGACTGATGTTAAACCACAGGGTACCCATATATCACGATAAATATCAAAGGAGGTAGTCACGTGATGGCATAAGATGAATACAAATGGGTAGAAAAGAACTCATTGGTTATGTTGGAAACCTTTCGTCGTTTAGGAAGATTTTATATTCTTGGCCTCGTTTCCATGTTAGCGAGTTTCTGACATGCGTGGTTCTCGTCTCCAGAGGTTAATGCGGATGGGCCCAAAATCAGAAACTGTTGGTCTTTGGGTCACAAGTGTTGTGGCAAAGATTCATGCTTTCATCATTAATTTGAACAAGTTTGGTCAAAAACCGCTAAACCTTTCATGTGAACATTTATTTGTGGGTCGTTTACAACTTTCAGCATTACTGCGTAACCTTTCAACCGAAAAGTGTGACCTGCGTCTAATTTCTCCTTACAATAACACCTCTGAATCACACCTCAACGTCACGAGAATAAAGGAAGTGATCACCAACTAACGAAGCTCTTGATTGTTAAACAAATTTTCCTTGCCAGTACCCCACGAAATGCGCAGAGAACAATATGGAGAATATGCATACTGTTTTTAAGGTATTAACAATTCAATTCAAAGGGTTTACCTATGTCGATGCCGAGGAACAGGCCTTTTAATTAATTGGAACACGCTACGACCTCATAACTGAAGAGGAAATCAGTTCTTTAACCCAATAGCGACCGTTGGTCAGCATCTTATTTCGTCTCACTGTATCACTGAAACGATTTTCAACAGTTAAACCTCTTGATTGTTAAACAATTCTCCTTGTCAGAGTCATCGGAAACGTACGAGAACACTATAAATAATATCTATACTAATGTTAGATTGCTAAGGAATAAAAGGCAGCAGCGATCAAAATCGGGTCAAAATCAATGGTCTTGTCGTTGGAGAGCGAAGTTAACTCTTCTTAAATGTTTTGTGACAAACATTTGTTATAAGAAGACTGTTCTTACATGGAAAAATACCCGTGCTATCATGCCCGGCTGGCTTTTACCCTATAACTCCCGGGAGTGATTAACGTGTAACTTTTTCCCGTGATATCTATACGTTATCCAGAAGGGTTGATAAAATTGTCCTTGTTTCTGTTCTCTTTCAGACTCAGTTGATTACAGAGGTAAAGAGTTCGTCTTGAGCTTCTCGCCTCAACATCTTGGGTATCTCTTTTCTGGAAACAATATACTATACATATCCAGCTTCGAAAATGGCACGGTTCGTGTCCACGTGCCTTCTCTCACGAACTTTCCAGAGAAGTCGTACGCCTTATCAGCTGGAGGTTCAACAATGGTTCAACTGTCGGGCAATACACGCACGAATGGCAACTCAGGACTGGAGAAAAAAAAGGGTATCCGAATCACGGCCGACAAGCCCATGTCTGTGCAGGGATTAGCAAATGCGACCCAAAAAGTAGAAGGGTTTCTTGGGTTGCCTGTGGATGCTCTTGGTATGTTTTATATAGCAGCGGCATATCACCCTGTGATTAATGCTGTAATTCAGGTTGTAGCGACTGAGGATAACACCACTGTCACGATTACACTGCGAACGAGCGGTAGAGTAAAGTACCAGGATAATTGGTATGGAAACGGTCACATCATAAGCGAAACTTTAAATGATTTAGACGTGTTTCAAGTTCTGGCTGACCAGGATCTCACAGGCACCATTATAAGGTCGACAAAGCCAGTCGCAGTATTTACTGGGGATGACTGCACCATGGTGCCTGAAAATAAACCGCCATGCAATCACCTAGTGGAGCAGATCCCCCCTGTATCCCTCTGGGGGAAATTTTTTGTTACCAACCCCATGCCTAACAACCCAGGGGGAGACGAATTTCATATAATAGCGTCTCAAAATACCGCAGTTTATGTTGATTCTCAATACAAAGGGATTTTAGACCAAGGAGAGAAATATAAGATCGATGTATCATGGAACAAGTCCTCGGTGATCAGTACTACTCAACCGAGTCTTGTGATGCAATACTCCAAAGCAGGAAAAAGCCCTTCCATGAATTTAGTACCTCCAATGCAGTCTTTCACTAACGACTACACAGTTTATGTTCCTCAAGATGAACAAGGAAACACTTTTGACTGCTATGTAAATGTCATTATTGACACTGCTTCACGAAGCGGTCTTCGCGTGAAGGGTGCAGACATCGTTGTCAAGAACTGGACCACAATTCTTGGTTCTGGAGGGTTCTCAAGAGCTTCGATTCATTTGACCAGTGTTGGTTCCTACCATGTGTACCACGAAAACCCGCTGTCAACATTTTCTGCAGTTTTTTACGGAATGAATCGCAATGGAATGTTGTTTGCTATGCCGGCTGGGATGGAACTGCCACGGCAGTCACTGGACGATACTTGTAAGCCCACAAACACTGTGGGTGGAGACAACATTGATAATGATTGTGATGGTTTCACGGATGAAGAGTTAAAGAATGGAGTTGACGATGATTTTGATGGTGTGGTTGATGAAGACTTGGTCACGCCGGTACCTACATTAACCACGCCCAAAAATTTCGTGACAACCTTATGCAATAGATCATCTGGTGTGTTCAATGCAGGTACCGCGTCGGGCTCAGCTTACGGCGCATGTCTGGCTCGTGGAGAAGCCAAAATCTCGCACATGGATAATATCGTGACTAACAACACGTGTGGGCGCATAACCGACCGAGTGTGGAA